CCAGGTGAGAAGCTGCACAGCTAATATGCATACTCCGCATGACACATCCACGTCCCTCCTAGAGCAGCCGCCTTCCCAGGCCCCTCTGTACATCCCACCCACTCACCTCCCACTTCCAAGTAGCCTGAGCCCAGGCTGAGGTCACCCATTGAAGCCTTGGCCCAGAGTGAGACACATTGCTGTATTAATCGACACTAAGCAAATAATCCTAATACCCAATCCTGGATCCGGGTGAGAAAGCAGGTTTTTAAAGCTCCCAAGCCATCCAGAGGAGCTGTCCGGTGTGGGAACCACAGACTGGCGATGGTCTTTCCTCACTGGGGACTGTGGGACCTCAGAAAACAGAATCTAACTTAATCAGTGCAGCAGGATGATAATTTTGGTGAAAAGATACAAAGATTTTGTTTTTAAGGCTGAGAAAAAACAAAGCAAGATGGCATACACAGGACTTGGGCCATGTACAAAATATATATATATTTTTTTACTTTCCGGTATTCTCCAGTGTTTTAAAAATGAACATTAGGGCCGGCCAAGTGGCTCAGTTGGTTAAGAGTTGGCTTAAGAGCACAAGCTCTGAGCAACAGGGCCGCTGGTTCGATTCCCACATGGGCCAGTGATGCTGCGCCCGAGCTGAGCTGTCGCTGAGCTGCCAAAAGGTGGCAGGATGGCTCACTGGTATAACAACAAGATTGCCTGTTCAATGGTGGGCGTACAACTAAGACTGAACTTGGCACCTTGAGCTGAGCTGCCACCCGGATGGCTCAGTGGGTACAGCATGTGCTCTTAACAGCAAGTGCTCTTAACAGCAAGACTGCTGGTTCGACTCCCGCATAGGAAGGTGGCTACACCCACTCGCAACTAATATTGAACACAGCACCTTGAGCTTAGAGGCCACGAGCTGCTGACAGGAAGCCAGATGGCAACTGGCGCCCTCCACAACAAAGATTGAAGAACAACAACTTGGTTGGGTCCTTTCTCCAATTCCCCAACACTGTTCCCCTCCCCCAATTCCCCAATAAAATCTTTTTAAAAAAGAACATTACTCTGAGTCCTGAAAAAATGTGCTTTGAATGGAGGAGGTCTGTGCAGGGCTGAATTACAAGTTCTATTCACCAGTGATAGCTAGTATGAGAGGTGAACTTAGCGCTGCCCACATTGACAAAAAAAGGACTGTTTTGACAAGCCCCGGCACCTTTAGGCTAATCCCCCCTTTACAGAAAAATCAAGAACAGAATAATAGAACCAACCACCCACCGGTGCCAGCAGTAGTGAAGACTCCTCCTCTGGGAGGTCCCAAACTTCAATCCCCTGAGCCTGGTGGCCCCGGTTCCCTTGGGACTAGAGCTTCCTGGGGACAGGGAAGCGATGCTTAAAAAGTGGCCTCAACAAGAAAAGAAACAGCCCATGACCAGCTCCCACCCTAGACAAAGTGGGAGGCACCACTGCCCAGCCCAAGGCCACACTGACCGCCAGCTAGCAAAAACACTGCAGTCCTCTAGCCCTGGCCAGGCCTCCCAACAGAAAAGCAATACTGCTCACTGCTGGGCTCCTCAGTATCAGTTCTTTCCCTGGAAGTGGAGAGCCGACCACAGTGGCTCACTTTCCAGGAAAGCACATTTTGTTCTGTCTCTGGAGAGACCCTCACAGGGCAGTGAGAAGTCGCCTACATGAAATCTGCCAACACCAGACCCAGGGAAGCAGCTGAGGGGCAGCGAGGACAGGGGCCTGCCTGTTCCAGCAGCTGCACCCTTATGTTCCAAGTCAGCTCGTGGAGAAATAAAACAATACTGACCCGCTGCTGGGAAGTGCTTGTTTCTCTAGCTCCATCCTCCCTTCCTTAGGGAAGCAGGGCTTGCTCTCAGGATGCCAGACCACAAAGGGCCACTGGGAGTCTAATCTGAGGCCTGGGGGAGAGAGCTTCCCAGAGAGCTGCTGCTGTCAATGACACCGTCACCCAGATGGGGCTCCCTGCCTTCCATTTTGAGCCAGGCCTTCCTTCAAGCCTATCCTCAGGTTTCAGAGCTCAAGTCCTGTGATTCCGACTTTCCCAGGTCTCACTGCTACCTGCCAGCCCCAGGGCAGAGCACTGAGCCCAACACACAATGAATGCCCCGTGTGTGGGGGACCTGCAAGTGACGAGCAGGCCAAGGTCTGGCCGCCTGCATTCAATCCCATGTCCCCCACTTACCAGCCATGCACACACAGGCTACTGGCTTCCCATTTCTGGGTCTGTTTCCTCATTTAAGAGGTGGAGACAATCATCCCTACCATTGTTGGAAGGAAACACAGAGAAGAGAGCCTGCCAGAGCAAGTGCTGCCATAGCCAGCACTACCAAACCCAAGTTTGGAGGCACTGGGTGGCGAGAGGATGACTGGATCTGAAGGGCCAGAAGGAAGAGGATCCCTGCCCAGCCCCCTCATGGGCCTCAGACGGCCATTGGCCCAAGGCCAGAGGTGCTGGGCCACACAGGGACCCCGGCATTCTATCTGCAAGCAGCTCCCACCCAGCACCTTGGCAATCCTGCTAACTGCTTAAAAATGAGCCCAGGCAAACCTGGCCCAGACCACCCCTGCCAGAGCCTCTTGCCTGGGACATGCACATCTGGTCACAAGTGGATTGGCCGAAACCTGGACTGCTACAGCCTCTTCAAGCCAGATAGGGAACTGGGCTTTAAAAAATCTGGAGCAGGAGACGCTGAAGGGAAGGGGGAGGTCTAGACACACACTGTCCCCTGGCATCCTCGGAGAGCGGCTACATGAGCATGCCATGGAGGAGGAAACAGAGGGTCAGAGAGGACCCACAGCAAGAAAGAGGCTGAGCTGGGATCTGACCCCAGCCCCACCACAGGAAGAGGTGGCATTCTATAGCAGGTCTTCTATCACAAGCCTCAATCAGAGGCCTTCCTGCCATGTCCCCCAGATGGGAAGAGGTCTGCTCATTCCCACCTGCAAAAGGAAAATGCAGAAGTACCGGGGTAAGGGAAAATCACTTGCATTTTTTTTCCCATGGGAAAGTGGGGCAGACAGGACTGCATCACCAAATGAGCTCTCAAAAATTATCCTTTGGGGGCCGGCCGAGTGGCGCGGTGGTTAAGAACTGGCTTGGGATGCCAGAGAACCCTGGTTCGGATCCCACATATGAGGGCCAGTGACACTGCCCTCTACAGCTAAGATGCTGAACAACAGCTCAGCCTGGAACTGGGCTGCCCTGAGTCGCTGGCGATGGCATAACCTGCAGTCCCCTGTTGCAGTGGGTTGCCATGGGCTCCCGTATGTAGCCAGCAGCCAGTGTGAGCGGCCAGCAGCCGCAGTGAGCGGCCGTCCAGAAACCGGCTACTGATCTGCCTTGCCTGGGAAGAGCGCAATGATGGTGTCAACTTGGGCCAGTGAAGCAACATCCTCCACAACTAGACTGAAGAACAAAAGTACAGCAACTTGTCTGTTCCCCTTCCCCCAATTCCTCAGCGCTGTTCCCCTCCCCCAATTCCCCAATAAAATCTTTTAAAAAAAAAAAAAGATCCTTTGGGAAATGAACTGGCCATTTGTGATGGAGAAAGAAATCAGAAGACTGGCTTGGCATGGGAGGAAGATGCAAGGAGAGAAATTAATGCTAAAGTTGGGACGCCTTGAAGGCAACACAAACACTGGGAGGCAAGTCAGAACATCAGTGGTAAAGAAAGTGGTCCTGCCCTGTTTGTCCCAGTGGTGAGGAACCCAGAAGCCAAGCTCTGCAGAATACCGTGTACAATGCCAGTAAGTAAATAAATGGAGTCAAGAAACCAGGCTTTTAGCAGGATAAAAACAAACCACGTGAGCTGGGTGTCACCACCTCGGAGAAGCCTCCCACGTGCACTTTCTTCTCTGCTGACTTCCCAGACCCCACCAAAGCTGGGGGTAAGGTACCACCTATGTTAGAAGCTCTGAATGCCCCTCCCTGCACAGGTGTGGACTCAAGACAGCGACTGCTTGATTCCAGCCAGCTGCCCGTCAGCTGCAGGTGCCCAAGTTCTAAGCAAATTTATAAAGTAAATCTGAGAACATTCTACCTTCATTTTTTTTCCTGGCGAAATAGGAAAACAGGCCCATTATGTAAACCTACCAAGGGTGCTTTTTTTTTTTAAAGAAGGTTCTAATATGAGAATTGTTGTTTTATGGAGAAATAGAAAATATTTGAAACTGAGACAGAATGAGATCTGGGTCTGATGGGAAGAGAGAGCCAGTCCTGAAAGACAGAGGTCACCAGTGGGAGCCTGAACTTCCCTGGAAAGGAATGACGCCACACTTAATCCTCCCTCCAAGCCTTTCCTTGTCATGCCCCCCTTTTCCCATTCTTACCGTCTCAGCTCAAATCCCACACCTCCTACAAGACCTGCCCAATCCCTCGCAGCTCTCACCAAACTCAGCTGTGACACTGACAATCATCTCGATGATGTTATGTGTAGTCCACTAACATTCTCTGCTCAACCAGAAACAAGGCATTCCTAGGAAGCCTATCCCTTTCCCATCTCTGTTAAGTAGGTTTAACTTACACCCTGTGCAGTCGCGTCTGACATTGTTTGACACACAGTAAATACTCCTAAATAAGACGCCGCCGGGAAAGTAGCACGGAAGTAAACAAGAGCTGCCGCAAGGACTAGGGGTCCGGGAAAGCAGCGGGAATGGTTCTCCCTCCCCAGGAGCTCAGGCGCGAATAATGGCAGAAAGTGTCCTGGGCCTGCCAGCCAGCGTCAGCCGCGGTGGGCTTGCGTTATCTCACTCCACCCTCGCAACACCTCTAGGAGGGCATGTTCTCTTGTTTACATTTCACACTCATGAAAACGGAGATCCTGAGACTCGCACCGGGCCCCAAGATGGGTGATCCCGTTCCCGGCTGGGGGACGTTGCCCGCGAGCGTGTGGGGAGGGGGCTGGGCCGGGAACGGGGTCCGGCGAAGCCCCGGCGGTGGAGTCGAGGCACGGGCCAGAAGCTGAGCCCGGGGAAGGCAAGCGGGCGGGCATTACCTGCTGCGGGGAGTGTCGCTCCGCCGCCGCCGGGCGCGCCCGAGCCCCGGGCCCCGCGGTGCCGGAAATGGCAGTAGGGCCGCCGGCAAGGACCCCCGGGCGCCCCAGACCAATAGGGGCAGTCGATGGCCCGGAAGAAGCCAGTGGAACGTAGCATGGTCCGTCCCGCAACGAGGCCCAGGTCCGGAGCTGCCAGGGTCCCCGGACCCCTCACTGGCGCCGCGGTCGGCGCCACCCGCGCCTCACGGACCCCTCCGCCGCCATCTTATTCAGAGGTCCCGGGAGGCCCCCGGGACGCAAGGAGCCCCGGGAGCGGCTGTCCGCAGCGCGCCTGATCAAAAACTCTTACTCTCGCGGGACCGAAGAGGGTCACGAGCCCATGGGCCGTGACAGGCGGCCGCGAGAGAAAGGGTGGAGGGTGCAGACTGTCCTGCCTGAGGCATCCGGGAGTTTTGCCGGCGCCACCGCCAGGTCCTCCGCGAGGGCGGCAGCGCCATCTTGAACCTAAGTCAGGGGCTGCGCCTGGGCTGTCCACAGCGCGCCCGAAGAGTAGAAAAGACCCCTCAGGGCCCGGTTGAGGCTCATTTGCAATAATTTTCATTTTACTAGTATGTTGCTCTAAAAGCGCCCTCTGCTGGGCAAGGCGAGTCCTGTTCCTGTACCCAGCAACCCCAACGGTCGTTACCCATTCACTCTCAAAAACTCACCTTCGCCCTGGTATACAGTTGGCTCTCAATAACTGCTTAATTTCTCCCACCTGGACACGTGTCAACAGTCTAATTCCCAGGTCCACAGGAGGAGTCCTGTTCTCATTCACTCATTTGTCCACCGAATACTGAGTGCCTGTTCTATTCCAGGCCCTGCCCTAGATGCTGAGGCTCAACCGTATTTTGTTTACGCATTCATCAGATGCCTCACGTTTGGGCTTTTTCCGCCTTTGTCTATTGTGAATTGTGCTGCTCTGACCATGCATGTAGGTGTATTTGTTTGAGTAGCAGTTTTGTTTCTGTATTCGTTTTTTAAATGCTGTAAATGTGAAAAAATAAAAAAGTAAAAAAATAAAAAAATATTTTTTAAGTAATTAAAAACTTTTTTTAATGATGTAAATGTGTTTGTTGCCCATGTTTATTAATAGAACCTGAGGAAATGTCACATACAAACCCGAGTGAGGTGGGAGCCTTGGAGGGCTGTGGGCAGAGGAGAGGGGCCTCACTCGGGTGCTGACACGCATCCTCAGGTGGCTGCTGTGGGGAGGACAGACTGTGGGGGTGAGGATGGTAGCCCAGGACCAGAGCGGAGTAAGCTGGTCCGGGTGGGTGATGATATGGGCTGGGCCTGGGTGGAGGAAGAGGAAGGGGGGAAAGTGGGCGGATTCTGGATATGTGTTAAAGGTACAGCTTCAGGGAGATTTCCAGATAGACTGGTTGGGGTAAAACAAAGAGTGAAGCCCAAGGATTCTGGCCTGCTCGCTTGGAAAGATGGAGCAGCCAGTGACTGAGGAGGCGATGGGGAAGGGAAGCCCAGGGGTGAGCTGGGAACATCTGGGTTTGGAGTTGAAGGCAAGGTCTGACTGGCAATGGACCAGGGGGTGTCTTCGGCACACGGGGACCTGAGTATGCAAAGAGCACAGCAAGATGGAGGGAAAGGCAGGGATCCCCGAGGCCGCATCCCAATGGAGCTTCCAGGAGGTAGGAGGGGACATTTTTGAGCTATTCCCAAGGCACATGGAGTGTGCCCAAGAGAGACTGAGGGGAGACAGCGCGCTTGGACCCCGCATTCCAGGAACTGCCACAAAGGGACAGACACCAAATGGATCCAGGGAACCATCTACGAGCTTGCAGGACAGAATGCAATAGAAAGAGAACATAGGTGAAGCAGGGAGGTACAAGAGGAAGGTCGTCCTCGAAAAAAGGTGAGGACCGGTGCTCAGATTGGGGTGGGCCTTGGTGGCCACAGGGCACGACCCTGTGGACGGTTGGGCTGGAGCCGGCGGTGCAATACCAGGGATGGCCACCAAATGGCAGGGCAGATACCTTCCCAGGGGCGGGAAAGAGAAGTGCCCTGGTTGGGTCTACCTTCCCCCCCCACTGCATCCCCACCTACTTAGGGGCTCTGGAGATCTCTGGAATCTGGGGTTCATTTTTCCTAGGAAGGGGTTTGTGGACGGAAAAGGGGCCACATGTTATACCTGACAAGCTCAGAAGACTGAAAATAACCACAGAGGATAGTATGAACATAAAAATTCTTAACTAAGGTGGGCCATGGCTGGAAGTCACATCTCGAGCTTCCTCATTGTTAATCTGTGCCTTTTCAGTGGGCCTGTTCTTTGTCTTTTTGTACCTAAAATAACATCTTTAATTCTTTTTCTGGACCAGAGCTGGAAACTGCAAAATTCCTCATTATCATGCTTGTCTCCTGAGTACCATCTCTATGTGCTGTAAAGAGCGAACTGTTAGCTATCCTGCAGCCACCTGTGTGGGAGGAGTCCAATGTACTTTTACCCAATCCCAAAGATTTCCCCGCTTTGCTTTCTCCCACCCTCTTAATCGATCACCAATGGATTTCATGTAACCTTCCTCCTTTGATTTTATGTATAAAATAAACTGCAAACTGCCATTTGCGGAGCATTTTCTCAGTCCGTTGAGATTTTGCTTCCCGGCAATTGTCGACAGTTTGGCTCAAATAAACTCTTACAAGTTTTCTCTTCGGCTAGATATTTTTCAACAGGTTCAAAGCTCGCACCAGCTTCTCAATGCTCCTGGGGACGCTAATCCCCTACCCAAGGCCCCCTGCCCCCACCAACCCTCCTCCCAATTGGGAGCTGGCAATACAGCAGCGACCAGACTACTGGGCACCAGAGCCTGTTGAGGCAGGGATGGTGGAGCGGGGGCCGCTGGGGGCGG